TTTACATCTGTGAATCCCTATTCTGTCCTTCTTGTCGACTTTTTGTCACTTTGATATTCCTCCTCTCTATGAAACCCGAAGTCAGCTAAAGGGCTAATGATAACTATCAAAACGCCTGCCATTTGAAATAAATAAATAAATATTCTAAAGAAAATTCCAATCAATTATTCAATTGTTTACTATCTATTTTCTAAAGTGATCAAACGGAGGTCTCCATTCGAAAAAATATAAATTTAGCCTTTTATACCTTTGACTATTCTAACAACTGAAGCAGCTCAAATTTACTCCCTAACCAAGTCCAATGAAAATTAAACCAAACATTTATTTATATCAAATGACAGACATCTTGGTGGTTATCATTAACCCTTTAGTTGACTTCAGGCTTCATAGAGAGAGAGGAGGAACATCAAAGTGGAAAAAATGTTGGGAGGGGAGGGTGGAACGGAAGTGTTTCAAAGACAAGAGTAGAAAAAGTTAGAAAATATGTGAGGTGAGTACTGTGAAAGTAGGCGAATATGACATACAGTGGGGTGATGGTAGTTTGAAGTCAGAAGTCAACTATCGAGTGATAGACTTTTTACCGTATGAGTATACGTTGCCCAGGGTGCACCACGTAGAGGTAAATCTATCGCGCACTCATTATAGCAGACATAAATAACATAGATTATTTGTGACTTCTGTGAATAATACTATTATTATGGCAATTACAACCCCCTATACTTGTCAATGACTGACGTTGTGTCTGTGAATTTTAGCGTTGCATATGAGTTTGAAACCGTGCCACTTGATAACTACATTTTTATGTGATATACTAGAGTATTCCAATGTTTACACACTAACATTCTCAACCCTGTCTCGAGATATACGTCAACAATGTAGAGACAACTGGTCACATGGAAGTATTTCTTATGACCTATTTAGGCATCAAAGTTGTCACAAGTCCTAGAGCTGATTTTATTACCGTAAATGCCATGGAAGGAGGCTTTACTCTTAACCCTTCCATTTGACTTATTATAATAGATGTTCGCATCTAATGAATAAGAAACAGTAAATCGGTTTTTTTATCACTTTAGCCCTCTGTTCATGCTGATGTTACTCTTGAAACCAAAACAAACTAATAGCCTTAACACCGTGGGCACTGAAAGTATCCCGCTTTCGACATAACCATTCGGATCAACGGCAATCTTACAATTATCATGCACATGATATAAAATGAGCAGAATCGGATTTCTTCATGGAGTTCATCATTGTGCTGAATGAGGTACAAGATATCTGTACTCCTGACCCAAGGTCAGTACCCCAAATACTTTAAACAATGCTTCTGTGCCTTAGTCTCTTACAATGGATGACTTTTCTCACAAACAGGCAGCCTGAATATCAGCACATCAAACACCCTCAGAACTGCTAATAACGATTAACCGATTGAATGACCAAGTGAACTAAAGATGAAGACTGCTTCAGAAACAGCATCAAGAAGCTTCCCAGAACTGACGAAAGCGTGTTTAATCAGTTGTCATCAAAGCGTCATCTTTTATTGCTTACACACTAAACTGCAAGTGTTTCAAAATTTTTATCCAGATCATTGCTTATTCTGTGTTACCTAAGTCTCCAGTACTCGGAGTGGCGTATTACCCTGCATTGGCCACAGGTTCCATGTACAAAACCATCATGTATCCGAAAGTGGCTTATTTCAATTAGCGGAAAAACCAAATTAAGAAGTCCTTGAATTAGTGCTACCACCACGTCTTCATGCAACTATACAGAGCGCCTTTTACAACCATTCAGAAATCAATGCAATGAAGACTCAACAATATCAATGGCATAGACTCTATAATTACCTGTTAAAAGAACCAAAAATCATATGTTAGAGTGTAAACTGCTTATGTGCACGGATTAATAATTACAAAACACAAAAGGGGCAAAGAGTTCTTTTTTTAATAAGGTACAGAACTGACAAGTAAGGGGGCATCTGGATTGGTGTAGTTCCACCTTGACGACTCCAGGAAGCAGAAACACTCATCCAGATCTTGTATATGACGTGGACGATCAAATGCAGCAGACAGGGAAGAAGGTTCTACAAAATATGAACAAGTTAGGGACATCTCCAAATCATAAACTACTTCGACAATCAAGATGGAAGTAGGACAACCACTCAGTGCGTTGCACTTAGCCTATTCTAAATACACGCTTTCCAAGGATTTAAATCAACTTTTCACTGAATCGTGGATAGAGGTGTTGGAAACAAAAGAATGAAAAAAACTTGTTCATGGATGTAATGATAACTTAACTTTCCTTCAAACTAATCCCCAATCACTTAATTGCGAGTCTCAATTTAAGCACACTCTGCCACCAGCTACAGTCAATTAGTAAAAGTCACCCTGAGTGAATTCCAGTAAATGATTGGAAGTGGAGAATCATTTGAATTAATGAACATAGAATCAACGCAATAATATGGGTGAATTAAAGGAGTAACACTGTACACTAAATATGCTAAACATTGTACTAAATCTGGTATGAAATCTAACCAAGCTTCTACTTTAAATAAAGATTATAATTATATATCGGGCAAAGTATAATGCAATTATATACCTATTAAAATGGGGGTAAATAGAAGGGCCATTTTTTGCATAATGTTCGAGTAGAGCTTGCATTTAAGGTATTCAAGTTTTTAGTGAATTCTGGAATTTTTGGTCCCCATGTGAGGCAAATAATGTTCTGATAAGTAAAACAGTAGTGCTTGTGGCAAGCTATGTCGTAGGTTTGGGGTAGATTTAAATATACATTTATTTGGGAAAGTCTACTACTTCAGCATTTCAGTAGTATATCCGAATTTTCCGTTCTGACTCACCAGGTGTGTGCTCATATAGGGGATCCTCAGCACCAGTAGCAGCAGCTGCTGCTGCTGCAAAAACACCTCCGTATGAAGCTGTGAGATTGGCCGCAGCAGCAGCGATTGCTTGTTCCCCTGTGGCATCACCCGCCGCTCCGCCACTCGAACCACTATAGCCATATTGGGCATACTGGGAGGCATAGTACTGTTGGTAGTATTGGGCATAGGCTTGATAGTACTCTGCCTGGGCCTGCGAACTTCCACTCACTGCAGCAGCCACGGCGGCTGTGAAGGGATCTGCCATTCCTGCAACACAACGAAATAAAATCGTAAGTAAATAGATAATATAGTTATTTTAGCAAAAAGTAAGCTATAGAATATTATTATGGAAACTCTGATTCATTGATTAGCGATTAGAAATAATAGAATACTATGTATAGCGGTGTGCTCTTATGGTGCCTTAGTCAACGCTAACGAGACCGATGCCAATGGAACCACAGTCAATAATCTAGACGATAAGACGAACATAAGCATTCAACTAAATATTTTTAACACCTAACAGACTTTAGGAGTCTTTTGGGTGGTAATAGAGGAAAATGCTGGCAATCCGAACCAGAGACACACATTGGCAAATGTATAGGTGGATCGGAGATGATACTATTTGATATGGACATAGATCACTAACGGGTAGGAAACAATTTACTTTAAGAAGAAGTATTAGGGGTTCCCAAGTGCACGTAGCCTTAAAAATGTAGTGTTAAATAGGTGAAATGCGTTGACCATTTTGAAATTACTCCAACGCTATCGGTGAAATACGTCTAATTCAACTTAGACGACGGTGTAAGTAAAACACCAATCTCATAATATATGGTCCCTTGTTAAAGAAAAAAACCTAGATTCCCCTCGATTAAACAAAAAACAAATCCGCTGGAAATTTTCTTTAAAGTAATATCACTATTAAAAAGACGATAAGTATGCAAACAGAAGTAATTAGATACCAAAAGTCCAATTATTCATTTAGCATTCGAAATTAGAGAAATCAGTGCCACCAGCTACAAGGGCGGTAATGAAGACCTTTAATAACTACCAAGCGAATACACATTCAACACAAACTAAATAGATAATTCTTACTACTGAAAATAACTTTAGTAGTACATACCCAGTGGAAGATGAGATGAAGCAGCAGCAGCCGCAGCTTGTTCATCTTTGGCTGCTTGAATGAGTTGACCATCAGCGGCGTATCTTTTTGGAATGGCAAGACTAACACGAATGGGTTTGTAGCCGAGCCCAGAGAAATTTTGCATTTCAATAAGTGCCTTGTCCATATCTGCCTCGGCTGCAAAACGCACGAAACCGTACCCACGACTTTTTCCATTATTCATGACGACTGGAGAAAAAAGGCAAAAAAGATACTTTTAGATTCTGCGTATCCACTAAAAGCCTCCACTTGAGAAGCAAAGAGTTTAGCCCAACATTATTTCGATCCAGCTGGCACTGATAATCTATCTCATATACAGTCACCAACACAGCTGAGATTTAATGATTACTTTCGCTTATAAATCGCGAGAACATAGAACGTATCAATCAGATTTCACAATATAGGTGGTATTGAGGGTTACACATGCTTCATCACAAATTCGTTTTAAGGAACTACATGACTTAAATTAATACAAAGATGCATAAGTATTTTTATGCCAACTTCGAAGCCGCAGGTTTCCTAACGAAGTTTATCAACTTATAATAGTTCAGATTCAAATTTCTACTAAATTCAATGTAAGAAAAATAGAATAACTAGGCTAGAACCATAACAGAAGAAAGAAGAACGAATAGATAACAATAATTAGTGGGGAAGATATATAGTGAAATATACTGTTCATATGTCATCAAAAAACAGCAATATGCCAAAACAAAATACTGGAAAAAGACCCACCCTTAGCTGATCTACATGAAGGATACTTCTTGAAGGCATTGAAAAGGATTAGGTCATCCACATCTTCTGTTAACTCCCCAACAAACAGGGAAAATTCACCAGCAGTATTCTCCTTTCCATAGCTGGCGTGATTAAGCTTGAAACGACGAGTCTGTAAAAACGGATGTAATAATTTTCGAAAAACAAATAAAGTTTTATGATACTTTAAATAGCCTACAGGAATTCCAGGAATCGGCTTTCCATTTAGTTTAAGCATTGCATCTCTTGCAGCGGTGCTATCAAGAAACTCGACAAAGCCATAGCCGAGAGTTTGACCTGTAGCTTTATTACGGATTATTTTGACGCTAACCACTTTCTCATCATGAAACTCAAATGCTTGGCGAATGAAGGTTTCATCCATGAAGGGTTCCAACTGAAGATATAAAATCCTTATAATAAGAACTTACGTCACCCATCCATATCGTGTGTGAGAAATTCTGCATTTTTATTGAGAACCAGTCTAAAAAGTAAGAATTTTCAATATATGTTGCGATATAAAGGGCAAATATACGGGAGAACTAATTCCCAAAGGAAATTTTAAGGCTCTCACCAAAGCCAATCAAACGAGACACTCGTAATATCGTTTCCACCGCCAACACTAATAGACATTACAAGAATGTAGTCACAACTTTAGACATAATGCTCTAATATATTTTGTTTTACTTAAAAAATAGTTTTATTGAGTTTAGTTATATAAATTATCAAGCTGATAGACAAAAATATGTACAAAAAACATGTATAGTCAAAAGTGTAGACTTATTTTATCAGTTTTGCAAAAATGAAATAAATCTAACCAAGGGAATTTATTAGGTTCTTAAAGCTAAGTAATTACTGGCTAAAACTAACATTTTTAAATAATTAGGGGCTAAATAACGTATGTCAAGATCATCTTTTTATCCTTTGTGCATATTTGTTAACTTTTTCTAATTGCAGTGTTACCAAAATAATTCTCAAATGTTGAAGTGCAACGGAATTTTTCTCAAAAGTTTCATACATTAGAAAGTGTATTTGAATTAAAAGGAGCAGATTACATAGAATGAGTAAGTCAAAACTCCAGTCCGTAAAACTCTGAGTATGTGAATATGAGACCACTCTCAACTTCTTGATAAATAAATGAGATTCGTATGCAAAGCACTACTTTGTTAGGATTTATTCTAACTGATTGTATTTGAAGCAATTACTCAACCGGAAGAAGCGATACTTACCTTTGTCTTGATATGGTTGATAGGAGGATTTTAGTCAAATTCTGAGTTATGTTTAGTTAAAAATAAAACGTAGGTAGGCAGCCACATGATCTATTCCGCCACCTTTGTTATTTTTCGGTTCACAATTAAACTAAGTTGTCGATAACATGCTACAAATCACATCAACTATAAAATAATCGTAGGATGAGGTCAGCTGTAAGGGTTACATGTATTTAATTTTTTTATTTTGTTCCATTTTATTTAGATATTTGGGTTTTAACTCTGGAGACCCACATTATACTTGTATTTTTACTATGATCAAAGAATTTACTTGAAGGTGATTGAAATATGATGGAACCAAATGTTTTGGTGCTAGTTATTCTTTTTCTACATTGAATACTCACAAAGCATAAGAAAACTGCTGCTTTATATGTTAGAGTTTGAAACATTGGTTTGATTTAGTTAAAGTATTATTTAATGTTACTTACTACTCTCTCATCTCAATTTCAATTTTAAACGTTATGAGGCGCTTGAGTTACTACTGAAAATTAACCTAGGAAGCCATCTCTAAGATATTCGACGTACCAAACAACAAATGCGTGCTGATTTCCAGAAATGATATGTTATTTTCAATATCATTTACCCATAAGGGCTGTTTTTGTTTCATGGGTTATATATGTTCTGTGCTGTGTCAAGCCGAAAAAATCAAATTGCTTCGTCTATACTTCAGAAAGCCAGCTAAGTCCCAGTCATCAGTAATGAACACGTATTAGCAAGATAATTATCCGTCTATTGGAATTAATTAAATGGTGAGTAATGAGCAATTCCAAGAATGCTCAGCAACAGGTTCTACCGTCCAATCGCCTTCAAAAGAAACTCATTAATATTCAACTGCTTTAGCTGGATGATAGCCATTCCACTTCTCATGTGTTTCGACAATTGTATCACAGGCAATTTCATTTATAAGAAACAATGACTAATGCTGATAAATAAAGTGGAAGGGGTTTTGAGATTGAAATAGTAAAAGGAAGCGCATTCTCCGCCCAAATGAAGCATCAGGAAACACTAGAAATCGGTGTAAATTGTTATTTTTCATTATAGATTTCTATTAAGTGTGAAAACCAACACAGCGTAAAAATGCCAATTTAAACATTATACCGTAGTCCCAATTGTCTTGAAACCTTTTAAACTAAGTACTATTATATCAATTGGATTAGAAAACTGAACAATGACGCAAGGGAAATCAAAAGCAGCTTTTGAAAGAAAAACATTAAGACTTCAGTCATAGTTTGCTCTATCTCGAAATTAATTTATCCCGCCCAATCTATTCTTTCACTAGCATTTCGTGATGCTCTTCAAACTCATTATCTTCGATTCGGTCGAAGAAATAAGCGTATCCCAACACCCCAAATAAAAAATATAGCAAAGACCATCAAAACGACGCAACCTTACACCGAGCAAAGTACCAAATTGTAATCTGTAACACTAGTAGCCATCACAATTTGAAAGCAGGGACAAAACCAGAGCAAACGAACCTGTGTACAATGTTACACATCATTAACAAATACATGCGCACGAAGTTAAAAAAGTAAAGTCCATTTAATAAAACATTGACAACCAACTACCACGCATAATTTGCTGAGGAAATGACAACCTGACTTTTTAAAACTTAAGAACAAAAGCAAAGTAAAAGGACAAAAGATACTTTAATTAGAAAAGTATATATAAATTTAAGGGACATATAATAGTCTGAGAAATAGGTACTCAATTCATTGCAAAATTACATAACAGGCGGTTCTTATGAGCAGCTGTAACCAGGTAAAGGGAAGCTTTTCGTTGAAAAAAATGAATAGAGGAAGACTTTTACCATGATTCAATCCGGACCGCATCCATTATTGAGTAGAAGTCAGCCGAAGTGCACACATAGGAAGCAGGTTGTTTCGAGTATTTTCTAAAAGGCCGTAAAGATTAAAAGCCAACTGTTACTCCCGCCGAGTAGTACTACGTCGGGAGTATTGCTTTCGGAGACGGGGTGATTTCAGAGTAAATAACTCCGAAATGTAATTTGTCTCCAACAATACTAACAGGCAAAACGTAGGTCACTATACTACTCGTATCTGTACATTCCTAAGCTTAACAGGAAATGCTCTGCAGAAGTAGATCATAAATTTTTGGAGAAATGTGCACCATTAAACTCAATTAATGGCGGTATCGTTTCTCCAGGTTGTTAATTATATAAAATTTATAAACGCATCAATATGTCACCATTCCACAGAGAACAAGCAAACCAAAACACAAAGCATGAGAGTGCACAGATATGTAGCACTATCACGGTGCTTAAAACAAATTGATTTCGAGCAAGCGTAAAAATAATTTATAAATGATTTAAGCGATATTAATGATAATTAAACAATGCAATACTATTATTGGTATCTGTTTTCACTCTGTTTTTGTCTAAAATTTATGATATTTAGATTTAAATGTTTCTTGACATAATATATATTTGATGCGTATTGCATCCTGTTTTAATATAGTGATTCTAAACATTAAAAATACAAGTTATAATAAATATCAATATTTTGTTATCGAACATAATTTTTTGTGCTTAATACTTGGTTAACAATTTTAATGAATCATATCTAATAGAGTTTCTTTTTAGACACATAGTTGACGAAAGAACACTTCTAAAATTTATTCAGAGGTAAAAATGTGGGACAACCGAAATATATCTGTTTTAGTATTGGGGTAATAATTTCAGGTAAAGTTAAGATCTTTAGTAGTTAAGTATTTAAACACTCTTTTAAGATTTTTATGAGCATTATAATTTTAAAATTAATTAGAATGATCATAATCAATAGATCAGTAAAATCGATGCTATAATAACAAAATTTGTTTGATGTTACATATTTTCAGAACACGTTTCTCGAAACATTGGAATTCGAAAAGCACTGCACGAAGTAATTCATTTCAAAATTACCCCTCAGATAATGTTAATAATTTAAAAAAATACAAAACCATTAACTTCTGATGTCCTACTGAACTCCCTTTAAGAGGCGAAATGGCGCAAGGAAGTTCTGAGGAGAATGGGAATAATTCCGTCGTTGAGTTCGGACGAATTTTTGTTCGAATTCCTTATTTAACGAAAATGCTCTTGCATCAAACTTGAGGACGCGATGGATTACAAATCAAATATATCGAGATTTAGAAACGGTAGCATTTTCTAACAAACATGGACTTACCTTTTCTTACTACTTTGATTACGGTCAATATTTATTTTAAAGTCAACAACACTGCATGTAGTATATTTAAAAATTGCTCAGTTAAAATGATCTAATCGAACGTGATCCTTTGTAGCCGAGCACAACTATATTCTGTTCACGAAATCAGTCGTTTTACTGTGAATTCTAATCTTGCTCTCAGGGTCATAAATTTTTAGTTCAAAACATGAGTAAATGCGTATGTTCCGACTGGTTATACAAATGGCACCTTTTATTTACGTCTGAGATTAACGCTCCACAATTGCTAATCGACCCTATTTGTCTTTGTTAGAAGCCCATCGAAAATTTGCCTCCCATAGCAGAAGCCGTTATAACGAAAAATGTTAACAAACTGATTCAAGTTTTAGATGATGGGGTAAGTTCCTATATCGATTTCGGTAGTGTTGTATGCTATTACCAAATATCGATGTTTGAATATCTTTGCTTGCCTTTACTTATTGACTAGGAGAATCCTAATGTTCATTTTGGAGGTGGATTACAGACACCGCTTCACAGAGCCTGCAATTTAGGCAGCAGCAAGATGGTGCGTATTTTGATTGATCGCGGTGCAAATGTGAATGCTCACGATATCTATCGCAATACTCCTCTTCATCTAGCTGCTGCACGTGGATATACTAATATTGTTAACTATTTAATCGATGCTGACGCAGATCCAAGCTCTGCAAACATTTGGGATCAGACACCAATTTATAGGGCAGCGCTAGGAGGTCATACCTCAGTGGTAAATGCTCTCTTATTGGCCAATGACATAAGCGGTTATCATTTAAACCACGACGGGGAGTCTGCCCTCACTGTAGCCGCAGAGCGAGTAAGCCTCTCTTTTCCTCTTGAGTGCTTGATCTGTTTAGGGGCATTATCACGTTTTAGAAAGGCTTTTAAATCCCCAATTTGATGGATGGAAGAAGAGGAATAAACAACTCTACCTAACTTTGATAAAAGCTGCATTGAAGGGCCATCTTGGAATGGTCTTACTACTGATTGAAAGAGGGGCACCAATTAATTGTACAAACTTTCAGACATCCTTAACACCACTGAGTGCCGCCATTATTAAGGGCTCTTTGCAAATAGTCAAAATGTTTATTGCTCTTGGTGCAGATTTGAATGTTGGCGATGAAATGGGAGATAAACCCCTTGTACAGGCAGCTAAAAGGGGACATTGGGCCATCTTCAATGAGATTCTACGGGCAGGTAAGGGAAAGTGATTTGACTATTTTGTGTCGCATCTGGGTTGAACTTAACCGATAGTCATTGTTAATAAAAGTGCAACACTGGGGGCCTTTTAAGAAATCAATAGTTCTATACAGGTGATCAGTAGTTAAACAGGGCTGCTTGACAGTAACCAAAGCAGCGAAGTTGCGAATAAATTTATTCAAATTAAAAGTTAAGTAGTTAATACTGATCTTAATTCTATGTAAAATGATTAAAAAATCATTTAAATTTGCTTTGTTTATATTCGGTTATTTTCTCAATGTTTTTTAGATATATCGAAGTTAGTGTTATATGACTTATTTTAGTATTTTTCAATAATTTGAAAGAAGACGGTGGTATTTCTTGGATATCATTTATATGCCATCATATTTGAAAACAGAGTTAATCACAAATAGTCATTGACAACTGAGAATTAGGCTTCTTGAAATATGCTCTCTCCATCGACGAAACGGTCTTAATTGGACAAATGTGACAATGATTTGATTGAGATTAGCTTTCCATTAGGAAGAAAGCCTGTGGTAAAGCCAACTTCATTGCAGTCTGGTTTAACGAACTCCTATGGTTTATTTAAAGCATTCTAACAACTGTCTCGTTAGGGATTCGCGGTTGAATACTCAGCAATTGTGGTGACTATTCTCACAGAAATCGAATTTTATTTTCCTTGCTCAGTTCATAACACTCCCGTATATGCAATATTCAATTGATTTATCCCCACAGAAACTATGAAAGATTATTATTGACGATGAGGTTATTACGAAACTCTAATATTATGAGTTTATTTCTATTTCAGGCGCTAACTTAAAAGATCTAAGTCAGGCTTGGAAACTGGCTTGCGAGGCTAATAATGTTGAAATGAGCACTTTCATTTCGAGGAAATACAAACTTTCATGTTTTGAGCAATCTGAGAATATTTCTTTCAAAGCGAATATGATGAAGAATATTAGGTCTCCAGCAAAGGAAATTTGGTGAAACGATTGCTTTTAGAGGCAATTTCATAAAAAAATGTTTTTTTAAATAATAAATGGCTACTTTTGGTATCTTTTGTAAATATTGGACTTATTATCACTTCAATCAGGTATTGTGGTTGATAAATATAGTACAAGGTTTTATGTTCGGGATAATTTTTTATTGACTCGTGTTACTATTTCCTAAACTATGTCGTAGAAGGACTTGCTACTGGTTCTGGCTGTAATGGCGTCTACTTCCAGAGTGAGTTAGAGAACATTGTTGCCGAATATACTAACTAGGGCGACAGATCGGTAGTTGAATGTTTGAAGTGATCCAGTGGAATGTGATTTGTCATTAAATTAAGAGTAAAAATTGGCCCTATTTGAAATATTAGTGGTGGCATGCATGACAGAGGAGTAACGACTAGCGCGTGGGTCTGAACAAAGATAGATTCATTCAATTCATAAGAAGAGTTATGCGTATTATTAGAATTTTAAATATATGTTTTTGATAAAATGTTTGCACCGATTCCATAACATCCCAATGACTTATATAAAATAACACGAATTTTGTTTCTAAAAAGTAATTATAGCAGTCATTTTTGAAATTTCTTGAAAGAATCTTTAATAGACTGAATCTAAAGTAGTTTACATTTTACAGAAATAGATATTCGTAGATGTATAGATACAATTGGGAGGTCTGTGTGCAGAATTAGCGAGGAAATGAAAACGAGAAGGGAGAGAGAGAGAGAGAGGAAGAAAGATAAGAGGAAAAAGCATCCATTGTAAGCGTAAATAACGAGAGATTATTATTACTATGAGATGCAATGCATTTTCAGTATTTGAACTACTGGAATACAGCGCAACAATAAGCTTCACGCGTTAAGTCTATAAAACGGAAATAAATAATCACAACTACTGAATAGTAAGTAGTACGAGTGTGACTAAAAAGCTTACTTATTTTTCTTTTCGACGTGCGAATCCAATTCAGGTGCTCTAATACTATTGGCAGTAATGCTAGTTCCTGGAGCCGACACTACTGTCACACTTGAAGCTTGTTCAGTATTATTATCACTGATTGAATTGCCGTTGTTAGTATTATTCATTCTACTCTTGTACTGATTTCGTCGTCCATTATCCTGCCATCCAGTGCTTATCATCTCGGGATCAGAGTACAAATAGACATCAGAAGAGGAACCAGCTGTGTTTGTAGCACTGCTAGAGGCTTCAAAAGCGGCAGCACAGTTGAAGGGTCTTTGTTGAGATGACTCGCCTACATCTGAATCTGTTCCACGAAAGTTGCCTCCACTCAATGCTGTCCTGCGCTGATGACTCTGAACAGAAATTGACTACAATTCATAGTGAAAATAAAATAATTCATAAAATTTAGATTGATCTCATGGAGTATAGAAATCCTACCAGAGGTTGACGCTGTTTTTCACTTGAATTTCGTTGACTGTCACTCAATTCCAGCGTGACTTTTGACGAGTGTTGAGGGCTGTCAGAGCAGCGAGGAAACCCTGAAATTTCCCTTTTAGTAAATATAAATAAAATTTAAATTTTTTCACGATTTTTAAACTATTTCAATAAGAAAAGAATAAGTATCGAAATATATACATGTGTATATATATCGACACACGGTTCAATACATCGCGATTAAGAAAGACAGTACCATATGTAATGGAATAGAATTTGAAATACTTCGATGTTAAGCAGAGGTTGCATTAAAGATTTCCAAATCCTGGCACGCCTTGGAGACAAAATTTACATGAGAACAGACAGGAGTTGAACCTCTGACCTCGCAGTTCACAATCGGACACGCTTAGCACTATACTACTAGCACTAATGCGGTATGAGTTAAGCTTTATCCATTAAAATACTGGTTAAGGGTAGCAAGCAATCCACGATAACCATTAAGAGTGAATACGATTACTTATACATTACTCAAATTAATAGCGGTTTCTTAATAATTGCAATTTTGATGGAAGAATGCGCTTTATTTTATATTCATTTTGACCAGCGAATTTTATTTGTTCAAATAAGAAAAGATGGCCGTATGATAATCTCTGTCAAATTGAGGTACATGGTCATACCCCCTAAACAATAAGTACCGAACCAATCAAAATTATTGCAGCTGTATTCCATGGGGAAATTAGCCTCCTCTCCAACAGTATACTACAGTATCCTCCAAGCATGCATGTGAAATTAAATTAGCAAATATGCAAGGATTATTAATCACGAAAAAGAGTTATGCAGACAAACATTGTTCCCCTTTGCTTAATCCCTTTAGGAAAGAATAGCGTTTTTATTGTAGGTTTCAATTAAAATTTGACATTGAACGGGGCTTACTTGCTAGGAGGTGTTCGCTCCTTTGAATCCAACGTGTTACTTCGATTGGAGTCTGATGAATAGAGTAGGTCCGTCCCACGATTTGCTAACCCTGGATACTGCCACCTATCCAACACGGAGGTTGTCTAGAATAAATGAAAGTGAATTTAGAGCTTGGCATTCGTTAAAAAACACCAACCCCCCCCCTCAGAGAGGGTCACTGACTAACGCATGGTTGTAAAAATGTGCAAGTGACTGGGGCGGCATAACTGTTAAATTAACTGGTCAAATAATCTCTGACTATCACGGACATGATTCTGCCCATAAACCTTGGAGCTCAGAAATGAAAGATATGAAACTAGGACACCGAAAGCCATGATGATAGTACATTCGAAGCACTGAATTCACAGTGACGTCCTCATCTCCTCCTCCCCCCCCCCCCCCACCCCACCCCCCCAAGTTTATGCTTTATTAACCCTTTGTCGTCCGAATTATTTTTTTTGTAATAAAATGCACCCAACCACACTCACGCGTGTCTCATTACAGACTGGTGCTGCCGACGTATTAGGAGAAGGCTATAGACTTATTGGACATGCTTCAAACAGCAATAACGTCTTATATATTACGAGTGAGTACCAATGGAGCTTAATTTGAAAGAGGACAATATGGTCCTAAGTGCGTGTTAAAGGGTGAAAGCACTTTACCATACATTCTTACTATTGTTCGTGATCAAAACTTATTAAAGTCATCCCTGTCTGCCATGCGTAATAATAAGTTAAGCTTGGAAGCAGCATGATTGGTGTCTATTTGTGGCAAAAGACTTAGTCAAAGGTTTCCAACAAGGCTGCACTTTAGTGAAATTTTGGTTTTAGAAAGTTAATAAATATTCCCCATTGTGCTATTCAATGCAATAATAGATAATATGGTAGACAGGTTGCAAAATCAAATCTCAATATTTTTGATCCCATTTTCATTGAAATTGTTTCCACTTATGGGCATAATCATCCCAGGGCGGAAAATACATTCCATGAATTTCATGACACTGTAGAACATGCAAATTTGAGTCCGCTAAACTAAACTCATAGTTCAAGGTACACAACTTAATCATTGGGTTCCGGGGTGTGCGATAGACTTACCTCCACGTGGTGCACCCTGGGCAACGTATACACATACGGCAAAAAAGTCTATAAAAGGGCAGTTGACCTCTGACTTCAAACAGCCATGATCCCACTGTATGTAATTTTCTACCACTTTCACAGTACTCGCCTCACCTTTTTTCTACCTTTTCTACCCCCGTTTTTGCAACACTCTTCTGTCCCCCTCTTGACTTTTTTGCACTTTGATGTTTCTCCTCCCCTCTGTGAAGCCTGAAGTCAACTAAAGGGCTAATGATAACCATCAAAACGCCTGCCATTTGATATAAATAAATAATCCTTGGGTTCCTGTTCCTTCCCCTTCCTGTCATCTTGAAGTAAGCCTTTATTGCAATTTCTCGAAAAAGCTCACTATTTTTGGCATACAGAGATCGCTAGAATTCACTAATGATAAACTCACTGTTATAATTGGGAAAGTTCAGCTTGATCCTAATGATATTAGCCTATGGTTATTTGAAAGCACACAAAAAGGACGATTTAGTGAACACAGAAACGGAAAAACTATGACTCAAGGTGCTCTGTAAGCATTTTAGAAATATCCCTCAATTCATAAAATATCTTCGTTACCTCTAGCAGGCTTTCCACAATCAATATTGCTTTAATTTCTGCCCGGAGTTATACGAACCAATGGAGGGAGAGGGGAAGGGAGGAGGAGTGAAGGGGAGGAGGTTAAGATGTCACAGAAAGGTCACTCTTCATTCAATTTTTTGGCCGCACGTTGTACGTAAAATGAACAAGTTTAAGGATTCCTTCCACTAATTGAACAAAATTCTTGTCCACAATGGTCAGTGTTTATTGCGTATTACTTTCTCAGTACGAAGGTTCGTCATATTTGCTTCAATTCAATATTCCACTCATTTTTTGGATGTTATTCTCTAATTTGCAAGTTTAGTATAGCAGTTTTATATATTGCCAGTAGTGCAACAAGGGAATAAAACTCATATCCATGTGCAAATATGCCTGCACTAGAAGCAAATGGCTGCATAATTTTAAGTCTAATATCATTCCACTCATATTGAAATCACGTTGACGAAACTATTAGCTTAGATTGAGTTCCCACATTCGAACCTGGTTATGTAAGACAACCTGTTTAGAAATCATTGCTGTTACAATGGGCTAATCAAGCGACCAATCATTTGTAATATGTCAGGGACCAAGTAATTCCAAAGGTCTACAGATTGTTTTGAACAGAAACTTTCCTCCTTATAATTTTCAGGGGCCTAAGTTGCTTTAAGCAAATAATGCAAGAGAGAAATAGCTCCACCCCAAAGAGCATCACTGCTGACCTGCTTACTAGATGAACCTCCTCTGAGCAGAGTTCCACTAGTTGGACCAATCGAATGAGAGAGATTCCTAGGCCGGCTTTTATGTGACACATCTCCAGATTGGCGTTCAGGCGACAGTACTATTCGATTGCCGCTTCGTCTTTGCAGAGACATTGTATTTCCGGCACTAGTTTCATTCAAATCCACCGAGGTCAAAAGTGACTCCGCATCGAGGGACCTTTGATGACCTGTTTCACTAGTGAGAACTTCGAGCGAGGATCTTGTTCCAGGCGTTCGTCGAACAAGACTACAACTTCGTCGTGGTAATAGTGCATTAGCCGTCCGTGGACGAGAGTAGTAGTTCTGCTGATGATAGTACGCAACTATTGGATCCTCATCTAGCTTATCCATTTTTCCGGGACTTGTCTTCAAGAGACGCATCAGAGTTTCAAGTTGAATTGTCAGATCACGACGATTGCCCTATTAAAAACAAGTAGTAAGATAAATATCTCAAGCATCATCAACTGTTTCTGTGTCCCTTTTTTGCCTTAAACCAACCTGCAAATCATTCATTCGAGCTTCCAGCTCAGATTTCCTCTGACGCAGAGCATTGAGTTCAGCTACTAACTGTGGATCTTCCACCTCGGAGGAGGCGAGCTGTGGCTGCATAAGATTTGAAGGTGGAAGTTTGTTACTACTCTCCCGCATAGCAGCTGCTAGGCCGGCCGCCTGATTAGCTTGCTCCATTTTTAAACGCTGAATCTCCAATAAAATCTCCCTGAAAAGAGACCATAAACATGACAATAAATCTACACGAACAAAACACTTCTATCGATCGATGAGGCAGACAATTTCTCTCATGAAGTACTAACTATAAGGTTTGGCAATTGTGAACAAATAATTGAATTCCTAATGCGTATAAAGTGAACGCTCTATCGTAAAACGAAAGCAATTGAAGGAAGTTGTCGTAAAAGTTGTTTACCAATCTCAACCCTAAGTTCTGCTTTAAATGCTCTTTTAAATTAATACTTTTTATCGGTAGAATTAAAAAAAGCATGATAAGATAGAAAACGAATAGTTCTCATGACAAAATCACACAATCCCATTACACTCCTTTCAACTACTTAGTCCCTTTTTTTATTTGACATGACAAGTTAACTTAAAGCCCTAGAGAGGTTGAGGTGGGGGAGAGCGGGGAGCGGGGAGCGGTGGGTTGTTTTTTCCAGCCAGCACAAAGCAACGCACAAGATGTACGACCCTAAACCACTTCAGAGAAATGACGGTTTAAAACCTCTACCCGAGAGTTTAAAATGGCTAACTGGTAATTGTGTTGAGGTTTGCAGTAATTAAGTGAAGATTCTCCACTTGTGTCTGATAGAAAATAGCATAACGTAAGCTAATCAACTTGCGGCTATAATTGAGAGAGTCAAATTTTTCCTGCTGTAGAAGGCTACTTTGAGTAGATTTACGTGGATGGTTCTTACGAATTAACAAATGCAGATTCCTCGAAATCTGCTCATCACCACTATAAGTTGATCAATTCTGTCCGGCAGGTTCATACGCAAAGAACTGAATGGACGGTCAAAACCAGGGTGGTAACTACTTTCACAGTCGTATCTCACTAGATATACCACTGTTCCTCATCAAAATTGCCGTCACTTTGAAGCAGTGTACAGTGAATTACAAATGTTAATGATGCAATGGCAGTGGTTAATAAATTGTAACATTGGTGATTTAGGAACCGCAAAGGGAAAAATGACATTTTTAATGTCAATTGAACCTTCTGTTAACACTTCTCGTTCAATTTTAACCAATTTGAAATGAACCGATCTGACAGCGCCGTACTAAAAACGCTGTGAAAGGTGACGTCAATATTGAATCTAGAGTAAATGTGACCATCTTGTAAGGGAGATGTAATATCCTGCTAAGTAAGCCTGAATTGAATCATAAGGTGTTAGAAATTGAGGGTACAGATGATTGGCGTGATTGTATTGTCATCGACTTTCAAGAATTAGCGTTAACCGAATTTGTTTATAAAAGGACATCAGCTGCAATTGATCTTTGGAAATATTCAAACTCCTTTAATGTCAATGCTCGAAACAAGCTCCTGGTAATATAAAGTACCGATTGGACGATCTCATTTCCTTCGATAATAAAATGAAATGTTGATGCTTTACAATTTTAATGAATTTTCATCTATATACAAGCATTGAGCTATTTTACACACAGCTAAGATAATTATGGTGGATCATGCTTATATTTATCCATAACAAATGTCCTATTACAGATAACCGTTATTTTGAAAAGGGTAATTATAATTTTCAGCAAAAATTCCAAATGACGATAAAGAGCTTTTTCGCGCAAAAGAAAATTGTCCGAGATATGCTTTTGTCTGAAATCTCTAAAAATACACCGAATTTTTTTCATCATCAGTAAGTAGATAGAGCCAAGTTATTGAGTGTTGTTCACTAATCCATTTGGAGTGCATATTTGAAATTCTTACTTTCAAAAAGGCCACACAATACTACTGAAATTTTAACAGTATATCAGAGGTGGTGAAATTAAAAAATAAAAGGAAACTGAGATTCTCACCTTGAGCGAATTCAATGCAAAGCCAAAGTATGCTAAAGAAGTATTAAAACGCATGAAATTGCATAACTCATCAGATGCTGTTGACTAGAAGCCAGGTTGCGGTCTTAACAACACTAAATATGAACTAGTCACTGAAGAGCCAAAAACACAAGGATTATAAGGCAAAGTAGCGAATTGAAAAACCAGCATACATCTGATATGAATCAGGATTTTGTTTCATAACTTTATGAGGGTAGATACAATTCGCAAACATCCATGAAATTCCTATTAAAATATGAGCTATCTTTGTCTCTATGTTCGTCCAGAAAGCTAATTTTGATTTTTTTAGTACAATAGTAAATCGTATTAGATTTGTAATAGGACTAACGTTGGTAGAAGCAATCAATTAATCGATTAGAATCATAATTTGGAGGGATTTGAGTCAAAAATGCAAAGTTTAAAGCTGCCAAATTTATGTGAATGTTTGCAGAAAAGATAGCCATGATTTTGCAGTATCGACATCATCACTTTTCATCGAGCGAAATGATAATAAGCGGACTTCCGGTGGCCAGTTCACGTTTAAGAGCAGTTAAAACGTCAAATATTACAATTTTGATTCTCAATGTTGACAACCAAAAGCGGAGAAGACAGAAGAGCCCAATCTCCTCACGCTTCCAAAAAGTACCTTAGTAATTTTGCCGAAAATCTTTTTAATAAACTAGCATTTATAAATTTAATTATACCTGTTCTTAGCTTCTAATTGTGCTACGAGTTCCCTTTGCGACTGTGTTGATTCAAAAACATCGTTTACGCCCTGAAATAAGTAAAAAAGTATAAATATAGCATTTGCAATGAATGGAAGAAATTCATGACTCGAAAGAACCATTACCTGTGCTGGAAGTTTTCGAGAAGCAAGCAATCGAGCAGAGTAGTTTGCAATCATTTTGTGTTCTTCCGGATGTCCACCACCGGTCTGGACCGACAACTGTCTGAATAGCCCACCTTCCATTGGATGTTGGTACTGAGATGGCAAAGACTGCTGTTGAGTTGGCTTTCGACCCAAAGTTCCGTCTATCACGTTATTAGATGTATCTGAGTTACCAGGAGCAGAGCTATAAAACAAGTTTTTAGCCATTTACTATAATAAAGCAAATACAAAACTATTTCGTGAGAGAAAATGAAATCATATTTTGGATATGGCATTGACTTCCACCAATTTCTAGCTTCCTGCCTACAGGAAGTGATTGACCAATCACATAGCCAATACGTTCTGCACTCAGAGAACATTAAGTCGTCCAAGAATAAGGCGAATAATCCAGGAATGTTGACGGAAATGCATGAAGTATTAGTAGACCAAATCGAGATTCTTTTGATGACCAGAAATCATTTTTTCCTTTCTATAATCTCAAATAGGTTTAGAATTAATTAAAGATTATATGCTTAATGCCAATTTCAAAATATGAACAGTTAAATTGAATTCTAGCACAAATGGATTAACACTGCTTTTGTTGAACAATGGCAAAATTGATCAGTCAAAGCTATTCGTATCAGAATATATTAACGAAGGCATGTTTGATAATGGAAACAAGTTGAAATATTTCTAAAATTTGAATGCTGAATTTGAAGATGATACAAATTTCTGAGAAAAAAAACTTGTAAGAAGAATATCATTTTAATATAAAGATATTTTTTTTAATTAAAGTCCATTTAATGGTGAACGGATTAATTTAATTAAATACGCTCAATGTTCAGACAACAAGGTATTAGAAGAATATTGACAACAATAAGTATATAATTCATGTTCCAGAAAATAGACAAAATTATAAACTTTGAAGAATTGTATATAGTCGAAATGATATATTAATCATCAGGGTAATTAGAATCGAATTGACTTGTTGACAACTTTCAAAAGAGCATTCGCAGATCGAATAGGAAGGCTAATCTAACGTGTTATTGCCATTGTGGAGAAAAATGGACTGATACGATAATTGCTTAATCGTCACCATTTATCAAAGGAGATAGGACCATAGGCGAGTATGGTTCAGATAAACCATTTATTTGTTGAGGAGTGCCAATAAGAAATCGTTCATTTAACAATCAGATGTTTTGTTTCAGTTTACAACCGACACAGTGAGGGAAACAAATAAATCGGCAAAATGTTAAGCATTATCTATCAGAAATACATTTCATTTTATTGTTATGGATAAAAAGTCTAACCCAAAGCCAGACAAACAACACACCAGCTAGGCAATGTGTACTTCTTTTCTTTCATCAGAAATTGTGTACCTCCATAACTATTAAAGCCATTACTTAAATTTACTATCTGCCAATGCCCATTTAAATTTAAAGGTTCTAACTCAGGTGATGAGAATTTAACTGTTTCACATTTTGATTTTGATTTCTGACTGGATCAGATCATCGGTTAACAATCGAAGAATTAAAACAGAAACTCGCATGTCTGTGGTCGACTGTGCAATTACTCTTGAAACTCGTCAGTGAATTGGATAGGATAGGGAACTTGATGAACTCTAGTTCAACTCCCCAGTATAACAAAGATAAAGGGAAAATCATATGCAACCAAGAATTTGAATTTTCGCACTAAACATTTACAGGAGTTGGAAAAGGAGGGGGGGGGTTGGCAAGAAGTAGTCAGTTTCCGACGTCGCTAGTGGAGAAAACCAAAGTCGTCAAACCGGGGTTGACCCCTCTGGAACCCACTTCAGTGTGTTTGATAAGAGGGTTTCATTTGAAGTTTACTGCCAACATAGAGAAATACTAGGAAAATAAATTAAAAGACAACTATTCGCAGTTATTTAGTAGGAAGGAGGTAATTCGTCAACATGGGAGTGACCGGCTGACACACAAAGCAAGAATGACCTCCCAAAAATGCAGTAATTAAATATGGGAAATTCTACCACACTCTCTTATTCGCCCGACCTCTCCTCATTCGACTGCCATCCTTTTCAGATTTATTGAGTCTAATCTAAAGGCTATCGAGAAATTAAAGAAGTAATTGAAAAGAATTGCAAGTGATGGTGGAAATGATATATTGTTAGTATCACATACGCAATTTGAAATTAATAATCATTTTAAAGAGCCCAATTTCCTATTGGCAACAATATATTTAGTTATTTATTTGTTTCAAATGGCAGGAGCTTTGATAGTCATTAGAAGCCCTTTAGCTGACTTCAAGCTTCATAGAGGGGAGGAACATCAAAGTAACAGGAAGTCAAGGGGTGGGGAACAGAAGAGTGATTCACAGATGTAAAAGAAGGGTTTACAGTGGGAAGGTTCATCAAAGTAGCAGAAAGCCGAGGGGCCTTCATAGAGGGGAGGAACATCAAAGTAACAGGAAGTCAAGGGGTGGGGAACAGAAGAGTGATTCACAGATGTAAAAGAGACAGACTGGCACAAAGTTAAGATGAGTACTGTGAATGTTTGAAGTCAAAAGTCAACTGCCGGTTTATAGACTTTTTGCTGTATGAGTATACGTTGCCCTGGGTGCACCACCTGCAGGTAAGTCTATCGCACACACCTATTGCCAACAATAAATATAGGTAGAACCTGCCCTGATCGGACTCTAATAAAGCCAACTGTATTGAATATCAACCAACATTCATTTATCTACATTGAGTGACAAGAACAACTTAATCCGTTGTTACAGACACGGAGAGTAGGAGCAATCATTTTGAAAGCTTGAACTCTAGTCACGATACTGGAATTATGGAAGACCAGATAGGAATGTGACAAACGGCTTATTATCTCCACATATATGCTCTTCTTCGGTTGCATTCCTTTAATTTCTATTCAATTATCCTTTCTATTATTATCTAAGATAAAAATTAGTAGATCTACTCTTAAATAACTAAGTACTATAAGTCATGCTATAAATGAGGTCATTTCACGAAAAGAAATTAAAACTGAAGTGTGAAATCTAAGCAAATTAACATGTTTTTTAGGAATGTAATTAAATTATGCCCACATTTGCTATAGAGCAAGGAAAGTAGGCATTCCTAGTGTGAAAAAAAACATACAGTGCATCGGCACACAAATTTGACTCAGGATGAAGTGGGTTGAAATAGGGACACTTCCAGCACATGTGTTTGCTGACTGAAAGGACCTCCTACACAGATTCCCCACCCCCCCGCCCCCCCCCCCCCCCCCACCAACCTCACAAACTTCAAAAGACAATTACGTAGGTATTCCCAAACTAAATCCTACCTACAAAATATGAAAGCACTACCTTTAAGACAAAATCTGGTGGTGGTTGTATTTTTTAACAAAAAAACTGGAATTTGTGGAATAGGTAGGGCACATCTGTGGGCACGTTTTGCAACTACTGGGAGTTTCATTACAGAGCATGTCGATTTGAGTATGTACTTCTATAATGATCCGTCAACTTCCTTGCATTTGAGGTAATAATTTTCAAACTCTCCAGTTCATAGGCAACGTAGCATGCTCTCAGGAAACTATTCAGAAAGAATTACTTTAATTATTCAAATATATTCACGAGTAGAAGTAAGTATATTTGAAAAAGCATTAACTGGCAATCAGCCAGAGAATGTGAAATACAATTGGCAGGAAATGAAATAATGTGGAGTTTAGCGCAAGAGTTTTTAATGCAATTTGCATAGTATTAGCCCAATAGATCACTCACTTTACGAAAAAAATTCGTGCCCAATTTAAGCAATCAAAATGTAGACGAGTTGATTGGACAAGTCTAAAATTGACTAATGACTAATAACTGATAATTAATTAACGAAGGGGAAAAATTGCTTTCGATATTGGCCTTCCTTATTCTTACCTCCTTTTGTGATAAAAAGTAAATCAGTATACCCTGTTACAAATAGGATGAATTGATTTGATCCTTGCAATATCTAATAAAAGGCAACATTTCATTAAGATAGAGCCACGACAAAGTGGAGCAAATTATGACAATATTTCTCTTTTAGACTGCTTTTTTTCTTTGTGAGGCAGGATTTTACCGAAAACGTCGCCTTTATTTTGTTGCAACATTTAATTGCCCCATTGTTGGTGAAGCTTTCCACTTCAAAGTTTTGGAAAGCCACACATTTTAGTGTAGGAAGCAAATGACTGAGATTAGTAGAAATGATAAATGGTACGCACTGGTTCACTCAGAGAAGAAATCAAATAGCAAAAATATTGGGAGATTTTAGAGGGAAATTCACAAACCTTTGAGTGATAAACTCACCACAAAAGGAATTTATTCTTTGTTTAAAATAAGGGTTTTTACGAATTCTCACTATCCTTACTAGGTCCGAAATGGAATCGAACTGTGTGGAAATGGTAATTTTGAACTGTGCTTAGATTCAAATTTCTCGACAATTTTTTAAAAAAACTTACAGACACACTACCATGATACTAGAACACTTAGATGATGAAAATGGACCAATCATCATGAAAACGATGATGAACGCTTATGAAAAGTCCATCTCCTTTAAAGTATTCGCGAAAAAAGTATGCTACTAATGATAAAGGTGTTTAGATTATAAGATGAGGGGAACATTCTTAATTCCTTTTAGTGATACGTCGTATAGTGCAATGAAATGTGGATGTCTCACACCGATAAAAAATTATACTTTCTCATAATAAGAAAAGTACTATATATTTATTTAAATGACTTCTGCAAAATAATTGTTCTGAGTATTCAACAGTGATTGAGTCAGTTTAACGAATTTCGAGTTCAATTTTGATTACATTTAGACGAACATATTTGCTAACTATTGCATTTTATTTTTTTGAATGGAATTTTCAAAATATGAATGGGAAATTGGTTTACAAACTTAATTATAAATCGAGGATATATCATCTTGTGTTTCTCAAAGACGACTATGCTCAAAGTCAAAGCCAATTTCTTTCATTGAGTGTACAAAGCTGCCAAGGTTGGCACCATAGCGAACTCTCATACGCTAAAACATGCTGAAATGCCCTTCATCCAATCAGCACCCAATATTAATGCAGCGTAGGGATAATTATGCTCACTATTATTTGGCATTTTCAGTAAAAGCCTCACTATACTACACTCCCTCCTTTCGCCAAACTTTGGTAATTTTTGAGGAAATTTATGTCCAAAAACTCTTCTGGTGAAGGGAACAAGTTAACTTAAATTTGTGAAGCATCTGGCGAAAATTATAGTTAATTAATTTAATAAATGGACAAATATTATAGCAGCACCAACGTTTCCTAACTAATCTAAACTTCAAAGAGTCTTTTTAAATATCCAGTTAACTAATATGTACACACTGTCTATCGATTTTCTATTAATCCAGAGACAGCTGACATTACTAGCTCATTGTTCCATAATCCAGATCATAAGCACATATTTCTGTTACACACTAGATAAGTTAATATTTTAACCAAAAGTATGCCTTCTCATATCGTAATATTTACGAAGTTTAATCGAATTTATTTCCCATCCTATTTTCGTGGAATTTTAATTGCCTTTAATAGGCCCGATTTCACATAGCTAGGTGCAGCAATATCCACAGCCGGATTTACTGTCCCATTCGATTGAAGGCTCCAATTAATAATAACCTGCGTACACTTTCCTTTAAACCCCGCTCTACCACCCCGCTCCACTCCACTCCTCTCACCCAACTGGGCCAGATTATTTCCCTTAGTGTAATGATTAAGTGAGAGAACTAGTGAAACGAGTGTGACTCACACAAAATCACAGTAACCCCCCACAGACCCCGATTGAGATGCGACAGCAGCAGTCGTGCCAATCTCCCCGCCGTCAGTTGAAAGTTGTCGGTGTGGTGGTGGTGGTGGATTTTGGGGCCCTGATGGTTGTCTTTGTTGGAGGGGATTCTGTGCGGTGGTGGATGACCCAGGGGATATTAGGGTTGTCTGGCGTTGCTGTTGATTGGTTTGATTGAGTGGGGGCTGCTGTTGTTGAGATGATTTCTGCCTTGCTATACTGGTGCTTCGTGCAACAGCCATCTGTGGAATGGAATCTAAAAGAAAAAAGAAAAAAAATCATGACAAATGGGAGAAAGACATGTATCTAAAAAGGGCCTATCATCTTGTCGAAATTAAGGCCAGGTAAGAGTGGGAATGAGTAACTTGAAACTGGGGTAGGAATGAAGGTAAAATCATCAGAGGTTAAGCAAAGACAGAATCTGGGATTCCAGATAGTGATGCTAAAAATTTAGAATCGTTTAAATTCCAAAATAATTTTAAGCATTTACAACAAATCATTCTCAATCAATTAGCAATAATATGCCGATTAAGTCAAAAATACCTTCTGAATTCTTTATATAAACTAAATAAAGTTTCCGCGACGTGTTGTGTTTCTTAATCCAAAGTTTGTCTACAGCCTAGTCTCATCGGAAGGGACTAGACGTGACGCCATACTGCAATTTCAAAACTACGATGCATGCGAAACTTGATTTAAATTTAATTATAACTCAACTACCATTATTTTTCAAGTTGTCTTTCACCAAACCACTAAGCCTTACACTCC